TCATAATAATATTCACTTTACACTTCGTTTTATGTGACAAGTTCTGCAAGTATAATTTCCTGATCGATATTGACAATCTTCCATTTTTTACAATGCTAAATTATGGGCCAGTTTAATAAAGGCTAATTAACTTTTGACTGTAGTTAGTGACAGAATTGGCCAATCAGAGTCGTGCAGTTCTGAGTTAACTAGGATTTGACTATGCAAAATATAAAAGGTTTTTAAAGGGTCTTAATTCCGAGTGGAATTATACAGACTTCAAACTCAAGCCGGGAACAGTTGAAGGAAAAATGAGTCAACTATAGGTCCTCCGGCAGGAATCGAACTATGCTTATGCGATGCCGGTACAATGCAGAAATTACCAAATTACTTGCATGGAGTAAATTGCCACGAAATCGTAATTGATTTATCCTCACCTGTGCAAAATGTACTTAAAGAGTGTTATTTAGAAATAGAAAAATTTTTTCCTGTGTTTTTTTACAGTTTTAGTATACACCCTAATATTGTCTATTACAAATCCTACATTCTGGGTGGCTACTCAACCATTGTCTATTCGTGATGGTGAACGTTTGGGAAAATTCGCTCGCGCGACCGTATAAAATTGAATTTATTAAATTATTTTTCGGTGTATTTGCAGTGTATCGATTATTTTATCGAAATTAATAGATCTAGGTACAGGGTGTAAACTAAAACAATTAGACAACTTGCCTTCGTTGACTATTCGCTCATAGACAATTCGAACTCGTTGTCTATAATTATTAAATAGAAACACGAGTGGGAGTTTGGGAGAACGAGAAATAATCAGTGGGACTGATAATCCCAAACTCAAACAACTGTTTCTATAACTGTATAGAAACGCAGGAAAAATGTTTTCAATTTCTATTACAATATAACTCAGTAAAAAGATTTTGTAGAAATATTATAGTTCGATTCAATTACAAATTCTCATTACATCACTTCCCTTGTCAAGTTCGGCGGGAAAGTTCCCGTGTTTCTATTCAGTAATGGAGACCGCTTCTTGTCCGCTTAATGTTGTATTATAAAGTAATTTGTTGATGTAGAGTGTTTAAAGTGACAAAGATAAATAAACACTCCTCTAAACAACGCAGTTTAATTGATATGTTTTGGTCCCCGAGCGGGCACGGAGCGCCTGTGAGGGCAATAATTCCGCTCGGAGATTACGAATTACACCCGGAACCCGGGAGAACATAGCTGAATTTAAAGTTCTCCAAATTCTATGTCATGGACGGTCGACGTTTGGTGGTTTTGTAATTTGAGGTTTGAGGTTTTTTCTTTGTCTCTGATGCTTTTGTACTGTTTTAATCGTTTGAAACTTTGATTTTAAACCGTTACTTAATTGCTGCCATGGTATAATTCAGCAAAATTGAACGGGCAATGTTTACACTAGCTTTGTGATTATTTTTGTATTGAATGATGGAAACATTGGCTATAACATATTTGAGTTTTGTGTCATTTCAATATTAATTTAGATCTTTTTCGTACTTGATTTGAAATAGCAAGGGGTTGCTGCATGCGTGTACTTCTAGTAAAATATAATGGTCATTGGCGTAAATTGACTATTAATTCAGGGGGGGAGCATATTCATATATTCTGCCATGCCCGGTAAATTTCTTTTGAGAGCAATTTCACTTTCAAAAGAAATCAGCCTGGCATAACAGAATATATGAATATGGTCCTCTATATCAATATGGTCCTCTATATCAATATGGTCCTCTATATCAATATGGTCCTCTATATCAATATGGTCCCCCTATATGAATATGGTTCGATTGACGCCCATCAGCCAATAACCATGATAATCTTGGAGTAAACGTTTATAAAATTATAATCCTAACAGAATGAAATCATTGAAATGTATTCATCTATAATGCTATAAAAATAAACTACTCAAAGTTCAAAATTATGAAAAAGTTTGAAGTATATGTCTATAATATTCCAAAAATTTAGTAATTAATAGGATATATCATTGTATCATTAAGAAGGAATCATACAGATTTCAAATCAAACCAGGAGCAGTTGATAAAAATTAGTCAACTATCGGTCCTATTGTATATAATATTGTATAATTAATGTTCAAAATTATCCAAAATCTTCAAAATGTTCCAGAAATCAACTTCCATAAAATATCAACTTACACGAAGTACATTAGTTAATAACTTCTAAACAATCTATGTGATAGTTATATAAATGAATTGTTTATATGCGGTTTATATGCTATTTATTTCGATGGACGCCGGAATGATGACAGGGCAAATACAGCATTAGTGAAAAGCAGTGCTCTCACAATTTAAATATGCCTATTTTTTATTGTGGGGAGGTTATTTTTAATAATCTGCGACAAAGGACATTTGAATAGAATATGATAACTATTTTTCCCTCCCCTCGATAGAGTCAAAATTCTCAAAGGAAATTTCCTTATAAGTGAGAACGCTGATGAAAAGTCACTTTTGAATTGATAGATATTAGAGAGTTGTTGTAAAACATTGGAATTCAAACTTAGTCTTAACGTTTTCTTTCAAGTTTGGTGAATCTAACAGCTGCTCTGAGTAGAGAAATCAAGCAATCAGTAGCTAGATCCTTAACAAAACGAAATAAAGTTCTATATATTGAAAAAGCAGATGCTCCCCCCCCCCCTTGACATTGTCCCACAGGTTTTCAATAGGGTTAAGGTATCTTGACTGTGCAGGCTAATCCATTTCTGTAACTCCCTCTTCCCACGAAACCATTGTTTGAATATCTTGGAAGTGTGGCAGGTTGCATTACATCACTGAAATATTGCTTGGAATAAGAGAATTAACCAAAATACCTATGAAGCTCTCTCCTATATTCGCTTCTTCTTTATGAATTTGTTTCTAAACAGTTCCTTTTGACCGCTAGTGTACAATAAAAGATTGATTGTTACGATTCCTGTTACATAGGACAATAGCAACATTTGAGCAATTCATTTTGACTGCAAGTGTATAAGATAAAGGGGGCGGAAAAGGGTTGCCCTCCCTCAGTTCCAGCGTCCATATCTAAAGCGTTCAAAATCAAAAGAATTACCAAAATTGTCAATTTCAGTTCCAAATGAACTGTTCATCATTGTAAAAGCCATAAAATACGTTCTGGAATTCTTGTTCTGGAGCCTAACCTGGAATATCAGGTTTTGTAAAGTTGCCAAACACCACCATATCACCAGGTACAAACGCTTCTTTCATGTCAAACAGGTTTTTGGCTGGAAAGAGCAGGTTCTTCAGGGCAAAGAGAGACACTGACGTGAAGTCTTTGTTGAAAATCTGAACCAACTGCGGAGGAACGTCTTGTTTCATGCGGCTGAAAAATTTCTTTTGGAGATCACGATCATTGGTTTTGCATGGTCCAGCAGGTGGTGAGAGTTTACCATTGAATTGGACGTTTGTTGAAGTCGTGTGAATCGTGACCATCTGATTCTGTCCAGAACCAGTAACTTCAAGTGGTAAGTTTGTATCCAGGTGCACCATGACTTGTAATGAGTGGTTATTGTAGCTTATTTCAGTCCAATCGCCTGAGCTAAAAAATGTCGGCCTGCGAGTGCGGGATCCATATTGGAAAGGGTAGCTCCTAGTGATGTCGTAAGCCATGTTGACATCCCAACTTGATGTCGCATCGCCATGTTTGAACGTCATGCCTTTCAGATCTACATCAACTGTGTCATTTTGAACTTTCACGTAATCTTCATATTGGCTGGGAATCTGGCCTTGGTGTGTCACCGGTAAGAAGCCGCTGGCCACCATTGTTTGGGGGAATGCACTGGATACTAAACCAGCTGTCGCTTCAGAAGACCACGTTTTGTCTACGTTTAGATCCGAAGCTGGAGGATCGCTTTTAAGGATTAGGCCACTTGTATTTCCAAGACTTACAGGCAAGATATCCTTGAAGAAAATCTTCGTGTTGACAATCAAAGAACACTGATAATCTGTCGGAATTGGCTCCCGCAAACTGGAGTGCGCGGAGCTTTGCAGTTTTCCTGTTGTCGCGATGAATAACTGAAGCAAATCACGGTTGCTCGGAGTGCGGTAGACGTTGAAGAGGAAGTTGGATGGTTTCAGGGACTCCAGGATGGAGATTTTCTTGAAATCGAGTGTGCCAAAATTGTACACTTCGTAACCGTCTCCCAAATTGGAAAAATAATCAGTCAAGGCCAAAGAAACAACATTGTTCACACCACTAACTTTAACATTTTGTGGTTGAAAATGACCTCCTTTGAGCTTAACTGCCACGTTATGCTGACTGGACACAGAACCAGACAATATTGCAAGGTCTACATTTCCAAGAACAGACGCACCGTCACTTTCTTTGACTTTGTAGTCGTTAACTGGCACCCACTTTCCGTTTATCAGAAGGCTATACGTCCAAAAACCAGAAATGATGGGCAAAGTGATTTCCGCGCTGTTTTTATTGTTCAGGAGAAACTGCAGCTCAGGAGCGTTGAAATGAAATTCAAACTTCTGTTTGTATTTCAACCCGGTGTCCGTGGTCCCATCTTTTTCATGTTTCCCAGTTTCTCGTAGAAACTTTGGATTGCCTTTCCTGTCTTCGTACTGACCTTTCAACTGTTCGTTGACTTGTTCAGCTGTCATGGAGAAAACAACATCCCATCCTCCGCAAATGGATTTGCCCTTCATCATGGCGAGAACTGTATCTTTGGATACAAATTCTGTGGAATTTGAAGATGGTGACGCTGCAACGAACGGTGGTGCACTTGTGAGATACTGCTGGGATTGAGCTTGCATTTCCAACGGCGAGATCTCCGTTTCCTTCAGTTGAGCGTAAATATGGAAGATGAGGCGTACGTTGACACGATCGTCAAACTTTATTCCCTGATTCGATTGAACTTGAGGCAAAGAGAAGTACCACTTGGAGAGGGGAGTGATTTGGGAAATCTTTCCATCAAAAGGATCTTGACTGGTTGTCAACACGTACGCTTGGAAATCCTCGAAAACACCTGGCTCGCGATCTTGAATTGAAGAGTCGACTTTTTAGAGCCCCGTGAAAATTCGCGATGTCGTTTGAAATGTCAACGTTTCACCGTCGAAGCTTCGATCATAAAATGGATCACCATCAAACACAAGTTCTGTGTAATACTTACCACTATCGGTGGAAACGATGCCATCAATCTCGACCATCACGCTTTCCACCCGCACGTAGTTGAATGATACAAACTCGCATTTGTTGATATCGATGTTAAAAGCGAAGCGACGGTTGTTTGTGATGGTTTCTGGTCGAACACCATGAATCTCGTAGATGATCGGGTCTTTCTGCTTCTGAGGAAGTGGTTGCACCGTTAGGCCCTGGTTGATGCTTTGAGACTGTCTGAAGATAGCTAACTGTAAACCCATCATCGTGAAGGATCCGATCGGAGTGGGTTGACGAAGATACTCGTATTGCAAAGCTCTGTCTTGTATGACGACAGTGGAGGCCAATATCATCAGCATCTGGCGTTGAAAGAACAACAGCTGACCCGAAATACCAATCAAATCAATTTTTTCAAGATCAAGTTTCTGAGGTTTCGCATCCAGATTGATTTTCAACTCGTCCAGGCGCTTCTTCTGATCTTGATGAAGCTTTATTCTTTGCTGAACTGCAGACAAATCCGCTGCGATTTTCTGAATTGAACTCTGTGATTCCAGCAAGGCTTTGCCACGAAGGACGAGGATCTCAAAAGCAGCAGAAAGCTTTGTCTTTGCTGAAATATCAGGTCCAGTGGAAATAACAGCTTTAAAGTTAACGTGCATCTCATCCCATTCAAGTGTGGATAACGTCACCAAACCTTCGGGTCCCAAGTCTTTCAAGGCTTCGACAACTCTTTGGGGATCTTTGGGCAGCTTTTTGAAGCTTTTATAAACGTTAATGACAGCATCAAAGACTTTAGCCATCTTTTGAATTTTCTGTACTGCGTTACCAAGTGACTGGAGTGCTGTGAAGGACGATGATGGAGTCACGAAGGCGAAACCGAGAGAAAAGAGACCAGAGGCGATGTCCATGACTGCTTTTAACGTTTCTTGCTTCTCCCAGTCTGCGACAGCGTCCTGGTAATCCATAATGGCTTCATCTACGACCGTTCTTTGTTTGTTTAAACCTGATTCTAACTTCTTTGTCTCTTTAGCAACATTGTTCATTTCGTCTTCTTTATCTTCGAAGACGCTCTGAAACATACTTTCCAAACTACTTTGGTAATCTGCTTGGGTGGAAATGTATTCCTGTAACAATTTACCAGACTTGATGATATTTTCGTTCAGGGCTTGTTCTCGTTTGATCTCTCGTTCCTCTGCCATTCTTGCTCTGATTTGGCTCTGAAAGTTCAGCAACTTTTCAGAAGCTGTTTTGATGACATTCTGGACATTTTTCACGACATCTTTGTAAGCCTCGTAGCGGAGTAATGGAACAGGGATTCCAGATTGTTGAGGGCTTCCAGCAACCTTTGCAAGGTACATTGCTCTGGCTTTCAAATCCAGCAGTTGGTCTTCACTTCCTGTTACGTCAGCAAGCCACACGAGGAAACGCTTCATTAACTCGATACTCTTATCGTGATTCGTGGAGTTGGCGAGGAGAAAGTTGAGGCGAGCTTCAGCGACAACCAGGGAAAACTGAATATCCGTGAGTCTTTCCATCACAATTTTTGATGAAGGAGATTCTCTGACATCACGAATTATGGTAACCTTTCTATCATTATATTTCATCATCAAACCATTCATAACAACACAAGACTTGCTATCATCGGAATTACTAATACGTAGACCACCATAAAACTCACCGCAGAAGAGGCGACCCTCGATATCTTTGAAAGCTGAATCTGTGATTTGGATATTTGGTGGTAAAGGGCTGTTTCCACCGCAGGAAATGACGTGACCAAGGAAAGTGACGCGAGAGGAACCAGGGACATTGATGGATGTCTTTTGCTTGTGATTGGAATTTGGTAACTATGGAGAATAAATTGTTTTAGATATTACTTTCAAATAGAATTTGACTGCAAGCTTACTGTCGGCATGTCCAAAATTTTATGTATTAATGCGGTCTATGTTTACATTACGAAATGTGAAATCAATTCCCGAAATTCCAGGTGGATTTTTCATACCATCAATTTATTAAACCCGATGTGTTCAAACCCAAATATAGATCAGTTAAAAAGAAAGTACTTTGAATTGTGCACTATTCGACGGGAATGACGGAATGACCTACCTAAATATATTAAAGGCCCCTTTACCTGAATTGCATTTGCAAAAATTGCGAATTCTCTGACCACTTCAGGAAACCTGACCACGAAGGCGTCGAGATCAATCTTCTCTTTCATGATGTTAACAGAGGGTGTTGAAAGTGTTGAGAGAAGGCCATCACCATCGATCGGGTCTGAATCTTTGAAGATGGTGTTCAAATCATACGGGCAGTTGTTGCTGAAGTACGGCGCTACGCCAAAGCCATTGGCATATTTTGTAAACATAACTCCTTTGAAGACCCGATGCCAAATCAACATCCGATAATACTCGGCGAAAATGCTGAGGGAAGCCAACTCGAATGAAATTAGAACAACTTTCTTGAAAGTTGTGTTTAAGTAATTTGAACGACCATAATGGTACGGAGTCAAGACGCTGTTCGTACCAGAGTAACTTTCATCGCACCAAAGACCGTCATGCAAGGATTTTACCAATTCTTCATCTTCACTTGCGATACAAATTTTTCCAGCTGCAGCTGTGTAACCAAACTTTCCATCATCACTTCGTGGTACGGTGAAAATTGTAAAGGAGTAGGAAAGTGGGCCACCGAAGGATTCTGGGTCTGTTTTGTAGGTCTTTTGGATTTCTTTGAACGCCGAGGCGTCATAAGCGAACACCTGGAAGATGGAATCACCAGCAGTGATGCTTGACACGAAGTGTGTACCATAGTTTTCGTAGAAATCTAGATATCCTTTGGCGCCGTCCATTGTGACATCCGTCGACGTCTTTTGCAGTTTCTCGAGTTTCTTCAGGGCCGCTAACGCATCTGGTCTGATTGTGCTGTCAGGATCTGGATTCCCAAAGATTCCTCTCTCGTAGCACAGGTGAGTTGCCATGCCAACCTTACGAGTACATCGAGCCAAAGCATAGGACCAACCTGCAGTGGAAAGGTCAACATCGAGTTGGGCGGACAGATGTTTAAGGGCTTTCTGACGAGCGACCTTGTCCATTCCTGCAAGCATAAGAGCCCCAGATGGCCAGGAAGATGGTGAGCCTCCTTCGCTGGGTTGCTCTTCGTTCCTCATTGGTCGTAGTTTTACTTGAAGTACGGCAGAAAGAAGATCTTCGGCGTTCTCGTGCAGGGTGATGACTGGGTACGACCATTTGGCGTTATCACCAGGATTCTTAATCACCGCTTCATGCTGGAAAAGGGCAGGTTTGCTTGAATTTGCGAAAGGCACGGAATAGATGTCCTTCTGAAAACCTTTAAGAAGGTTTGTGGACTGACCGAGCATGATTTCAAACTCTCGCGACATTGTTAGAATTTTCTTTGTTCTTTCGTTGGACTATTTCTGATTCCAAATCAATGTTGATTTTTCTCTGGTAAATAAGAGCATATTGAAGTTAAACTAAACAAATTTAAGCCAGGAACAGTTGATAGGAAAATGAGTCAACTATAGGTCCTCCGGCAGGAATCGAGCCTACGCTTTTGCGATGCGCGTGCAATGCTCTTGTCACTGAGCTACAGAGGCAGCTGACAAGAGCAAGCGTGGTTAATGTGTATAGGATGGTAATGCCGGGAATAGGTGAGGGTAAATCAGTTATGATTTTTAGCACTTCACTCGATGTAGGTGAATCCTAATGGTTCTGAGGGTCTTAATTTCGAATGGAATTATACACGCTTAAAATTTAAGCCCCGAACAGTTAATGGAAGAATGAGTCAACTATCGGTCCTCCGGCAGGAATTAAAAACGTAGGTTAGATTCCTGCCGGAGGACCGATAGTTGACTCATTTTTCCATCAACTGTTCCTGGCTTAATATGAAGTGTGTATAATTCCACTCGAAATTAAGACCCTTAGAACCATCAGAATTTACCTACATTTAGTGAAGTGATAAAAATCATAACTTATATACTTCTATATTTACCTCTACATATACTTCTATATAGGGCAGTAAAGTGTATCTAACTAAGTACTTCCAGTGCGAGTCTTGAGGAGCTATCTTGATTGGCGCAGTCAGCCAACTAATATCTTATATTAAATGATGTAATATAAGTTTTTATCCTCCTATACAAGAAATGTCAATGACAACTTCTGACGTCACACAAGACGTCACCACAGCCTCGCCCTCGTTAAGAAAACCCCTCCCCCTTTGGTAAATTAAGTTCAATAGCACTGAATACGGTCTAAAAAAACTGTCTATATAGAATCTATAGAGTTTTCCAGTATAAATAAAGTTGTTTAGTTAAGTTTCTTCCTGTAGTAACACTGAATCAATAAGAGAAAATCCTTACTGGACTTCTAGGAAAGACAGTTTAGAACTGATAGAGCTATCCAGTGTAAATAAAGTTAATTTAGTTTAGGTTTCCTCCTGTAGTATCACTGGATTAATAAGAGATGATCCTCACAGCAGCTTTAGGAAGAACAGTTTACAACTGATAGAGTTATCCCGTGTGATGTCACTTTTTTGTGTTCAGATATATACAGAGTAAAATAGTTGTAGAAATAGTTATATCAACTGGCATGACATGGAAGAGTATCCAGTAAATTGTTATGTCCAGTGAACTGGTTGTTTTATGAAAGAATTCGAGCGATGAAGCATATGCGCTGTTTTGAAAAGGCTAGTATTAGGATGACGCAAAGGGGCCTTAATTTAAGTAAGTGGTTGGCAAGCAGCGTAGGAATAGGATTTCGAGAGCGACATACTTCGAAATCCGGACTCTGACTCCGACCCGAAATTCAAAATTGAAAATACACGGATCTAAACTGGATTCAAAATTACCCAATTATCTATTATAAATCAGTAATTTCAGTATTACTTACTATCATCTATCTACCTGTCGGCCTATCTATATGCCTTACGATCAAATTGAACGGTTGATATATATTTGCGCAAAGTCATACCTGAGACCGTAGCATATTTTGACATTGTTTGCAATGTTTGGGAGTACGATAATGTCATATAATCATATTGGTGCGGTGAGCGTTAGGGTCAAGGACCAGTTGTATAAAACTCTTAATCAGTTTTTAATCACTTTTTTGTAGTTAAAACGTCGTTAACTTTAATCACGTAAAGTTAACTTGGGCTATAGTCAACGCAGCGATTTACGGGTTATTATCAACGTAAGATGCTGTATATTCTTATAAAATTCACTGCACAATTTCGCCACCGTGGGGTGTTTATTGGCCAACAATAAAATGCGTTTGTTTTGATTAGCCAGTTCTAATGAGTTGACAGTTGAAATGTTTTAAAAACTGTCACTCAAATCATCGCTGCATATTCAATCAAAACGTAAAGTTGAGTAGGGGTGAACGTCACGTTGGCTGCTAATAAACAACGATAAAAATTCGGCCCTCGGCGCGTTTCATTGCAAATAGAAGTAGCAGACGTCCGGAGTAAATTTTGGATCCCAAAAGGGTGACAATGTTTAAAAAAAGTTGTAAATGAGTGCTGCGTTTGTGAAAGACTAACATGCGGTTAAATCGTATAAGGCTCCAAAAACCACAACTTCGCGCCTTTGCCACCATTTCGAGTGAGACATTCGCCGCCATTTGGCAAGATAGGAGAAGTAGATCTCGCAGGGCCTCTTTATATAAAGCAAGCGAAAAATATAGTCAAGGTTTATGCAGCGTTATTTTCATGTTGCGTATCGAGAGCAGTCCATTCAGAAATAATTGAGGATTTGACCGCGCAAACATTTAGAAGATTTTTAAGACGTTTTACTGCACCTCATCACTAATCACTAAACTCATCACTAATTGTCTCAGATAACACCAAAACATTTAAGGCTGTAAATAAAACACTGAGGCGCCTGTTCAATAATCCCGAAGTAAAGTCAGACTTAGAGATTAGAAGGATAGTATATGGAAGTTTAATCTAGAGAGAACACCATGGTGGGAGGGATTCTTTGAACGAATGGTAGCTATAAAGAAACGTTAAGGAATGCATTAGGAAGGTACTAGGAAATGCTAAATTGACCAATAGGAGTGAGAATTATTTTTTGCAGAGGTACAGGCGGCTATAAACTGTGGACCACTGACTTACCAATACGACGAACGAGAGACGGAGATTTTGACTTTATCTCACTACATCGTAGGCGCACAATGAGCATGCCAGACGATATTGACGAGCCCAACGATTACAATGACAATAACACATCAACCGATCCGTATACCATCTGACTACAAGGAACAAACACTTTCGGAAAAGGTGGAGACGCGAATATTTAGTCAATCTCAAAGAGTTCCATAAAACATAGGTGAAAGAGCATGGAATAGGTAAGGTTGAGGTGGGAGATATAGTGACTATTTTTGAGCAAGGTGTGAAGAGGGATCATTGGCAGTTGGGAATTGTTGAACAGCTAATTATAGAGGGTAAGGTTGGTAAGGTGCGGGTTATAACTTTGGGCAAACCAGTTCGTTTGTCAAGGCCGAAGCAAAAATTTCATTTGCTTGAAAGTAAGAGTAGCCGCCCCGCGTTAAAAACAGAGGCGACATCATGCACTCACCCCAAGGCACAAAGGAATGCGAAGCAAGAAGCAGTAAGATCGGAGTTTGTGTGCCGCCAGATCAGAGCAAACAACAGATATACGTATGGCGCGTAGGAACTTACCTAAGCAGAGCGTGGCTTTAGACGCTGGTCGCGCGCAGGCTAAAAGCTACAGTTATTTGCAAGCCAGCGTTAACCATGAAGTTTTTATCTCGTTTGTTTCCTTTTCAAACTTTTGGGTTTAACCGGAAACGTTGAACATGAAACTATAAACCAATCAGGTTTCACTGTGTCGGTGATATTTCGACAGTTGGGCGGAACCTGTCAATACTGTCAAAATATCACAGTGTAGCTTGATTGCTTCATAGTTTAACATTCAACGTTTCCGGATAAACCCAAAAGTTTGGAACGTAAACAAACGTGATAAAAAGTTCACAGTTAACGCTGGCTTGCAAATAACTGTAGGTTTATGCTTGACTCATAATGAGCCATTCGGAGGAAGAGTCCCAGTAAATTGTTATGTCAAGTGAATTGTTACGTTCAGTAACAATGGTAACTACAGGGTGTCCCAAAAAAAACGAAAACTATTGAAATCACTCATTGTTAAAATTGAATGCCGTGTTCACGAATTTCAGCCCGTGGGGATTTAATGCAACTTATAAAATGCTAAATGCTTTGTGTTGCTAGAGAAAGGGGACATGTCGAAGGTCATGGTCCTTGAGATGCACATTTGAATAATGTTATCCATATTTGTAAATTGTAAATATTGTTAATAAATATCATTTTTGCGAACAAGCAAATTTTACAGCATCATATGCATGCATAAAAATGCTTATGGCAACCCCGATTTATACACTTGTGGGCCCAACAGAGTGCTTAGGCATTCAAACTCTAACAATGGCATTGTTATGGGTGATTTCAATAGTTTTCGGGTTTTTTGGGACACCCTGTATATAGCATTATCAAAGGTCAAGTTGTAACAATGCCTATACGCATTGTAATAAACAGGTTCTTCCTCTTTACGCAATAAATGTAGATTAAATCAAGTAAGCGTTTTTTGACGTAGTCTTAAGTTATGTTCTTCCTTAGACGTAAGTCCTAAAATCTTTCTTCCTTTAAAAACACTATAAAAAAAACTCAATCTTTAGGAAAAGGAGAATTATTCTGTAAATTTGTATCGCTATTGTGAAATGTATATATTTCAATAATTTAGTTTGAATTATGGTCAGAATATATTTAATACATGTAGATTCTGGTCCTATTTTAATAATATCGCTGCTATTAATATTTCGTCGTTTAACAAGATGATGTGGTACTGTATGGGCACGTTGAAACATCGCAGTTTGCTCAGTATTGAAGATTTAATATAACTATATAAGCACAAATTCCAAAGGCAAAGTTTAAGACAAAGTGAACGTATCATGCGGTTTATTTACATTTTTTAACAATTGAACTTCTATACTTTTTAAAGTACGATGTGCTTCTGGATTTTGCGTTCGAACAACGTTAAGGTTAGCAAGGCATCTAAATGAATATGGACTGTATTGTTTATGTTCCGAAGCTTTTTATATTGAAGACTGGTACGTTCGCAGCACGCCAGAGTTAACGCTAGAACAGGCGTCTTGTTATAGCCGTTTCTATCGCTTTTTACTGCAGATATTTGGTGTGTATCAATCGCATGGGTGCTTCGGTTTAAAAAAGATATAACAAAGAAAACAAAGACAAAAAAGGCAATGAAGACAACAAAGACAACAAAGACATAGCGCGACGCCTTAATTCAACACATTAGACAGTACTGACTGTACTGTACGTCTCATATCTTACCTACTTACAGTATGTAGGCGGTTTCTCTGCGATCAAAACTCTTCGAACCAGAGTTTTTTGTTTTCTTTTTCTTTTCGAGGCTATGAACATAACATTTGTTTTCTTAGTGTTTAGTGTGAACTTGTTGGCTTCTAACCATTTACTGATATGACGCAAGTCTGAATTCAGTGTGCATTCGATTTCCGTTGGAGACCTTCCTGTACATGACAGGTTAGTGTCATCAGCAAACACGGTTACTTGTTTGTGCTGGAGGCTATTTGGCAAGTCGTTTATGTAAAGAGAATATAGTAAAGGTACTAAGTTAGAGCCTTGTGGTACCCCACTTTCTGCTAATCCTTGCTTTGATTTTTCGTTGTTAATTACACAGACCTGCTCTATGTTGCTCAGGAAGGATGTGAAAAATTTTAAAGATGTTCCCTGTAGAGTTTGCACAAATTTATCTGTAAATTATTATTAGAATTTGTAATTACTAGGTTGCCAGCAGGACCAGCGCCTTTTAGGGTCCCGCGATTTTTTCGTTCCAGCTATGCCTTGGGACAAACTTAATTGAAATATGCCATGAAGTGGCGTAGTCAGCCCGACAATTTAATCATGCTATGCTAATATTTTGGTGTTCATTGACTGTGAAAACAATGAATTTCTAAAGTAATGAATAATGATAATCATTAACGACATAAAATTTGCATAGCATGACTAAATCGTCAGGCTGGCTACGCCACTGATGTCATGAGGATATGATAAATATAAATAAAAAACTTAAACACCAAGTTTACATCTATACTCTTGTTTGTGATTCTGTGTCAGAGTTTAGAGTTGCTATATGTATAATTATAATAAAATCGACATAAAGCGTCGTTCCAGTGACCCAGCATCGCCTTATATATGCAAGCGAATAACACATAACATCATATGCACAGTTAAATCAGTATACTTAGGAACGATTCGTTGCTATAGACAAAGCAAAAATTTGGAGTTCCGCGTGAAAAAAATGCCGCGGGCCCCGAGGTGTGTAAACCCGCTCCTTACTTGGCTAAATGAATTTTGCTATGCCGTAATTTATAATAACAAAAACAAACTCATTCAAACCGCAAACACCATAAATCCTGTGAATTTGTAGCAAGAGTTTTCTGGTATATATCGACATGACACGATATTTAAAGTGTTTGCATGCATGCATACGGCATTTCGTGCGCTTACAATTTCACAATAGAGTGATTTTCAACCAAAATACCACAGATAAACCGCCTAAAACACCTTCCAACCCCCGGTAACAACTCCGAAACGTCTATTAGGCCCTGTTCATATGAGCCGGGATGGCCCGCTTTGCCGGGCTGACTCGCTAGAGGCGAGATCCTACTTCCTAAGTTGTTTCTATATGTTTTTGAAATTTGATTCACATGGAAAGCGAGCCAGCCCGCTTTATAGCGAGATCTCGCTTGAGCGAGGTGAGATCTCGGCAAAACGGGCTCATATGAACGCACTAGGCGGGCTAGCCCGGTAAATCGTCGATCGCTTTCTCTACAAATATACCTTCATAGCATCATTTCGCCATTTTATATGTATTTGCAAACCAAAAGAACACAATACATTTCAAAATTAACGAAATGTATCTGCCCAAAACCGCTGTAATCGATGCAAGCAGCATTTTTCGATTTGTTTAGCATCAACAAATTATAAAACGCTACCGGGCTAGCCCGCCTCATGTGAATAAGAAAAAAACTAGCCCGGCAAAGCGGGCTAGCCCAGCTCATATGAACAGGGCCGTAGTCGTATTTAACAAAAATATCTCGGTCGCTTACCTTAAACTGTGGCCGATCAAAATTAAACATGGACTCTGATCCCCATTGCTTGTCTGCATGCGTTTGTCTGGTCATGCAAATTTGGGTCTTTTATAACTTTAGTTAATTACATACCATTAACTACGGAAGGTCAATGCTGATTGACAAGTTGATCCAAGCAATTAGCAACGGTAGCTAGCAAATTGCACGCTTTTTAAATCTTCAAATTCCGTTACTTTTTTTTAAGAAAATTTAAAGGAACCGCTATTGTGTAGAGTATCATAGCCGTTTCTACTAGCTGTTTTCTAATGCAGAAATATGGCATATATCAATCGTGTGCATAGGTGAAACTTCGGTTTCAAAAAGGTATAACAAAGAAAACAAAGACAACAAAACAATAAAGACAACAAAGACAACAAAGACATAACGCGACGCATTAATTCAACACATTAGACAGTACTGACTATACTGTACGTCTCATATCTTACCTATATACTTACAGTATGTAGGCGGTTCTTCTGCGATCAAAACTCTTCGAACCAGAGTTTTTGTTTTGTTTTTCCTTTCGAGGCTATGAACATAACAATTGTTTTCTTAGTGTTTAGTGTGAACTTGTTGGCTTCTAACCATTTACTGATAGGACGCAAATCTGAATTCAGCTTGCATTCGATTTCATCCGTTGGAGACCTTCCTGTACATGACAGGTTAGTGTCATCAGCAAACACGGTTACCTGTGTGTGCTAGAGGCCATTTGGCAAGTCATTTATGTAAGGAGAAAATAGTAAAGGTCCTAAGTTAGAGCCTTGCATGTGGTACCCTACTTTCTGCTAATTCTTGCTTTGATTTTTCGTTGCTGATTACACAGACCTCCTCCCTATTGCTTAGGTAAAATGTAAAAGGCTCTAAAGATGTTCCCCTTATTCTGTATTGCTGACCTTTTCGAAGAATGATAATATCTAGAAGGTCTACTGTGACTGTCGAATGCTTTTTTAAAGTCTATGGCTTTGCCCTTCTATGGCTTTGGGCGTTTGCACGGCTGAACGAAATGCATCGCAGGATACCGCAACGCTTGTAAATTGTATTGCGATTCTTTTAATCTATGAATGTTGTGCATTGGCAGAGCGACCTTGCAATGCAGCCTCAAATATAAACAAATCAATTGGGTTTGCTTTATAAAACAAAGTTCGAAAGATAGCGACAAACGATTGAAGTTTATATTTAAAGCGATTATTCTGCTTTGCCAGAAAACGCAGGGACGCAAAAACATATCTTTAAAAACAAATTGTACTAATCTCTTTGGCTGGGAAGTATATTTGTATGAAAAACATGCACGCGCCATATTAGCCACAACTTGCGAGTCCCAGAGATTCGTTTAGAATTCCGCTTTCAAACAATTGAAACAAACTAAAATATATTCGCCGAATAAATAAGACAAGCTTTGCAAGTAAGTGAGTTCCTCGAGTACTCTAAAGGCGATTCTCCATTAACGTCCGCTTCACCCGCGCAGGCGAAGCGGCTTTTGAAATTCTGTCCATGCGACCGTGACGGACCTGAAAAACAAAGCGCGCTTCGCCCGCGCGGGCGGAGCGGACGTAATGGAGAATCGCCCTAAGTTCGTTTCACGCGCCACGAGTGTACGCCGCGGCCATATTTGTCGGATATTTGAACAAATTGTCTTTTATGTATAATTCCCTTGAACTTGGCTCAGCGCTGGATTACACAGTGGCAAATGCTAAAAATGCCACGGGCCCCACGCCTTTTAGGACCCCGCGATTTTTTCGCTTTGGGTATTCCTGGGGACAACCATGATTGAAATATATCATGAGGATCAGAGGATATGATAAATATAAATAAAAAACTTAAACACCAAGTTAACATATATACTCTTGTCTGTGATTCTGTGTCAGGGTTTATAGTTGCTATATGTATATGATTATTATAATAAAATCAGCATAAAGCGTAATTCCAGTGACCCAACATCACCTTATATATGCATGATGCGAATATATGCGAATAATTTATATCATCATATGCACAGTTAAATCAGTGCTTAGGAACGATTCGTTGCTATAGACAAAGCAGAAATTTGGAGTTCCGCGTGAAGAAAATGCCGCAGGCCCCGCGGTGTGTAAACCCGCCCCTTATTGGGCTAAATGAATTATGCTATGCCGTAATTTACAATAACAAAAACAAACTCATTCAAACCGCGAACACCATAAATCCTGTGAATTTGTAGCAAGAGTTTTCTGGTATATATCGACATGACACGATATTTAAAGTGTTTGCATGCATACGGCATTTCGTGCGCTTAAAATTTCACAACCGAGTGATTTTCCATCAAAATACAGGCATGTTGTAAAACACGGACTGGACTGCATTTGTAAAACACGGACTGGACTGGACTGGACTCAAAATCTGTAAAACACGGACTCAAAATCTGTAAAACGCGGACTCAAAATCTGTAAAACACGGACTCAAAATCTGTAAAACGCGGACTCAAAATCTGTAAAACGCGGACTCAAAATCTGTAAAACGCGGACCCAAAATCTGTAAAACGCGGACCCAAAATCTGTAAAACGCTAAGTTTGAACTACAAGCGGGTCTGGCTTGCTTGGTTAATGATTGTTCGTTTGATTTGAAAGGAAATCAACCGCAGGGTCTTCATATTTCATTTGGCAGTTTTCACACCTTTCTGGCGGCTATACTATTACTTCAGTTCAGAGTGTTAGCAAGATTCCCAAGTAACTACACCAAATTCATAAATATTATATAATGCGTTCTAACCCATAGATAAGTTATTTCAATTTTAAAGATTTTGTAGCTATCAACAGTTTCGTATAGGCTGTAACCTTAAATTGTTACAGCTTATATTATTTCGTATCCGGAAATACAAACTGTCAAACAGCTGCATTCATGCGACGATTGTGTATGATAGTCTGTCGCGTATAGTCTGGACTGAAAACCAAGTTACTTCAGTGGTATATTTTAAAATGGCAGGGAGCTTTAAGCTCCCGAAAGTTGTTTTAATACAAAAGGATTTAGAGCTTCCGAGATTTGCCTGGAGAAGCATTTCCAAAGAAAAAAAACTTGGATCTGGCAGTTTTGCGTCGGTATATTTGGCTACATATGGTAGCACTTCGCAACAAAATGTCGTTGTCAAGAAACTTAAAAGTCTTAACATCGACTCCCAGACGCGCTTCGTAAAACAGTTGCAAACATCACCAAGTATCTCATCCGTTTATCTTCATGTTAACTTGTACTGTGCACGAACAGCTCTTCCTCAGTTTACACCGGCTTTGTGCCATTTACAAAGCGATTTAATTCCGTTTCTTCAGAAAGAACATTACAACCTCATGCTGACGAAATTGGGTATAAATTTTGCGCTTTAGAGTCGTTCTATTTCTCGAGTCAATATTTCTCTGGCACAAAATCAATTATTGAAATCTTGGCGAACCAGTGGTTTTTATTACTGATCTATGTATTGACTGAAAAATTGATTGCTACAGCCTACAGACGCTACCTTCTCGCTTGTCCTACAATTACAAATACATAACGTTTTAAATAACGGCCGGTTTATTTACAAGCTTCGCTTTATATTTTCTTCAAAATATAACAATATTTTCTTCAAAATATAATATAGAATAAGCATATTCATCACAAATCACAGCCGGTCGAGCGAGAAGAAAATAAGAAAATTATAACGACGCATACGTCATGTAAAGATTATATAACCAACGTGAACAAACATTGTTATGCGCAGAATATATGCTCAGAACGGACTGTACATCATCTTTAAACAGTCATAAACTTTCTACTCGTTTCATAAAAACTGCTCATATAGCTATATACCATATTCAACGCGTAAACCTTTTTC